CACAGTGGAGACTGCTTCAGTCCTCACTCCCACCGTTTCCTGCTGTGCCTTTATCTCTCTTCCTCCCCCCCACTGAGATGGTTCCCCCCAGCACCGGCTCCTGCTCTCCTCTTCTTGCTGCCTCTCTCTGATAGGCAGTTTATGCTTATCGGATAGTCTGCTGGTCACTTACATCTCTTCTGCGCACACGATGTATTTTCTCTTTGCGATTCAAGAGCACGTATTAAGATGATGTCTGCTGTCATGGCTAACCCTCCAAGGATAGAATTGAGGCCTAAGCTCTGTGGCTGCGAATGTAAGAGACTTGTATCCTCCATGGATCCGCCATAGAGACCTATCCTGCACATTCACCAGGGGTTTACATCAATGTGAAATGTCTGTTTACAAAAAAAGGTCAAACAATCTGAATTACTGATAACCACAGTGATTATGATGGAGTTTCCAAGGTCATTTGTGCTGCATTTGAGGAGTAATTTTTGTATTTTCACCACATTTCACTTTATTTCTAGTATGTTTCCCTTAATGCATTTCATTCAGTAGCTCGGTGCTGTTGGGTTTGAATTCCCAATGTGGCATTTGGGAAAGTTAAAAATAAAATTTTAAATTTTGATTGAAATGAAAAAGGTACCAAGAAAACACAAAATGGAGCTAAATCCAGGCATCTTCTTACACCAACTTAACATGCTATTTGTTGTTCATTATTCATGTTGGAGTCTCAAGAAAGCAGGAGGTTTCAGAGGAAATTTTTTATTTGACAATATCATTGGTGACGTGAGGAATGAAACTGGAACCATTATGTGATTTGGAAAGCTCTGTTTCTATGTCTCTCTCTAGCCTGCTTCCTGTTGGGAACAACTGGCTGGCCCTGGGATATGAACTTATAAAAAACAGAACCCATTGGGCATTCTGGAAATGGGGTTCTTTGCATGAGTTCTCTCTTAAATCTGAACCTTATTTGTTCTGGGCCTTGTGGAAGAAGTGGCTATTTTAGAGAGACTGAAAGAGAAGGTGTTGGGCTGGTGAGCTGGGATAAGAAGAGTATTTACTCAGGTAGTAATGCATCCCAGTGGTTTTTTTCAAGCCCGGTGGGGTTGTTCCAGTTTTACACGGGTATAATGAAGGGAAGAATTTGCCTTTGTTTTTGGACCTCCCCTGACAACAGTGAGCTGCTATGATGATCATGATTTCAAGATCCTTGCAGAGCTTGTTATGTGAGGGGGTGAGACACCAATCTGTCTGGAGATCTCACAGGCAGGCTCACAATCTTTGTTGATGCTGCAGCGTGTACACCTGTGATATATCTCTGGATGCTGCTCTGAAGTTGTTTTCTGTGGTCAGGAATTTGGAATCCACTGGGTTATTGTCATAACTATTGTTCTACCCATTCTTCTTGTGTCTGCCTTTCCAGGATGTCCGTGGGAAAGTACTTTTCATGGAAAGGGTGGGAGGGGGAGAGGAAATTGACTGCGGTCTCTTGGCATGAACAAATGCTTTGGAACCTTTTCGGTGCTGGGGCTGGTGGTGGCAGGGAGTGTACTGTGAGCCTCTTGCAGCTATTATCCCTGTGTTTTCCATGCGGCAGATGTTGGGAACCCATTCTTAGAAAAGCAAAAAAGTCACCATTGCAATTGAAAAGGCAGCCAACTCCAATTCTGACAAACTAGAAGAAAGGCAGATTTCCCCTCCTCCATCCACTGCATTTTGAACTGACTCCAATACAAGGGAAGGAAATGTGGCTCTCTGACTCCACATTTCCATTGGCAATGTGAAGTATAGTTCATTTGGATCCCAGACCTGCCTAGTGATTGCATGCCATTCCCTGCCTTTCTGGAGGAGCAGGAGGGAGTCTGCTTTTGTCTGCAGAGGATCCTTTGATTCCCTGTCCTTTCCTTCTCCTCCCACCTGCTCTTGTCTGCAGCTTGAATAGCATGTGAAGGAATCACCATCCTGTGCATGCTTTTTCTCCTGTGAATCCCAGAGGTTGCAAGGATGGTTGATCAAACCAGCTCGACATCTGTTCTGCAATGCTCTTCTATCAATTCACTCTGTGTACCATAAGGGGTAAGCTGCAGTATGTGCTAAAAAAGGGGATTGCAAAACTCCCATTGTGGCACCTGTTGGGTTCTTGGCTTTTCTCTTTGGAAGTATTCTCTGTTTCATCAGATCTCTTCTTTTTAAAGAAAAGATCCAGGGTTTTGTTTGGTGACCAACATGGCGTTTGGAAGGGCTCAGTCTAGTTTTGGTAGCTAGGTATCACTATTGCAAAACCTGCCACTTTTATTGGCTACCTCCTTGGTGGATTCATCAGAGGGGTGCTTGACTGAATGGGCTGCAGAGACTGAGCTCCACTTTCATTCCTAAGAGGGGTCCCTCCCTCCTTGGTCAGACTCAGGCATGTTGGCTAAGGAGCTATGTGGGCTGCAGCTGTTCTGTGGATTCATTCTCCAGGGCTGTCAGTCTGGTGACTTTAAGGCAGAAGTTAATGGGCCATGGGTAGGTTCCTGCAGCTACGTTACAACATTCACATGTTTAAAAAGCATTCCCGCTGCAATGGAAGGAGGTCAGATGTCGTTGGTTTTGTAATTTTGGATGGGAGATGCAGTCGGGCAAGCAAGGTTTCAGGTTAGGAGAGTCGTTGGAGCATGATGTCTTTCCTCCCAAAACTTGTGCTCAGCTAAGCATGGTGCCCTTTGGTTGCCAGTAAATGTTTTCTCCTTTTAAAACAGGGCATAAAATACCAATTTACTCTCCTTCCTAAGATCTTGGAAATATCTTCAGTGCAAGACGAAGGAGCAGAAGTAACACTGCATGGTCCTTATGTGTGATCAGAAAACATTCACTTCTGTCAGGCTTCTCTGAGCACTTCATATTTTGCTTTGCGCTGCTGTTTTAAGCCTCCTGTGTTATACAGTTTACAACCAAGTGATGTGTGTCGGAGGAGACAAACACACATAGATGTACATGTTTTCCCAAGCAACATTATCTGAATTAAAGTAACATTCCACAGTACTTTAATTAGAATTCAAAGGACAGCTAGACCTGAGCACCTACATTTGAATCTGGATTTAAATGTTTGAATTTTGATTCTTTCAGAATTCAGGTGGATTTTCCGATCTAGTTTTTGGTTTCACCCAATGTAGTGTTACAGGCAGCTGCAAAATTTGGATCTAGATCCAAAATCATATTCCAAACCTTCTTTCCCAAAGCCCAGTGGCATTGGACCAAGATTTTAGCTCAGTCCTGTCTCTAAGGTAAATGTATTTTGTGCTATTTCCCCATTGTTTTATAATAAATGTATTGAGTACTTCTGCAGGGGCTGTTGATGTCCTTGGGGGTACTTCATTTCAAGATGCTTGTGTCTGAAGTACTGGCCATATGTTCATCTACATACAGGATTATAGTAGATTTTTCTGTCTTGTAAAATATGTTGGTTATAATCCTAAACTTCCATCTTGCCCTGCAGTCTGATGACCACTGATTTCAGATAAGATTCCCTGAGCTGCATGGAATTGAGGCAGAGAAGCCTCAAATTTTGAAAGTTCTAGAAATTTCCTAGAAAACAGTCAGCTGTTATGTTGGTTCCCGAGGGGGATTTTCAAACTATGTATATGGAAATACCCGTTGCACTGTCAGTAGTTCAGAGCTGGCCCCTTGCTAAGCTTTGTGAGAACCTCTTCGTTGTCCTGCTTTGTTTCACAAACACTCTCTGGCTGGTTGCAGGCATTGCCCGGTGGCCTAATTTTCATGTTTTCTGTGTGCTCTGAATTCCTGCTAAAGTGTGTGTGATGGGGGGGAGAAGCTGTGAAAATCAGATCACAGGACAATAGCCTAGAGTAGTGGTCTGGAAGTCAGAGTTTGAATCCCTCACATGTGGTAAATGAGGAAGCCTGATTCGATCTCCCTTGCTCATGTTAAATGGCACCTAATTCCATGACTAGTCCCATTGATTCCAGTGGAGTTGCTAACACAGTATGGTCCTACTTATCATGAGTCCGAACTGGGCTCTGAGTAAAGAGTTTGGCCATCTAAGTTTTGGGATGAATTCGCTGATCCTTATGTTGGATTCAGTGGGACAGCTTGTATGAGTAAGTAATGTCACGGAATCAGCTCCGTAATCTCTTATGGACATTTGTCCATAAACAGGTGAGTATTACAGACCCTGTCTGCTGAGGAGAAGCCTGTGATAGGATTAGGAGGGACAGCTGCATGTTAGGGTAGAAGCAGCGTTTTTGAAGGCTGGGATCCAGAAGATAATTACCAGGGGCTATTGAAAGACAGAGTGAAGAACTTTCTTTGCTGGACTTTTGTGGTGGAAGCCTGTCAGGGGCGTGGCAAGAGATCAGACCCCAAATGTTTATGAATTCTAACTTATTTTTTAAAGACTTTTTTTATCTCCTGGCAGTCTCACTCTGTTCAGAGAGTTTAGAAACCAAATATTTCAGCAGGCGATTAAAGCATTTCTTGCAGTCCTGTCCCTATGTTGAAACTTCATAGTAACTTGCCCACCTTCTCTTTGCTGATGGTAGAGGAGAATAAGTCCTGTCAAAGGATGGGAGAAAGAAACTGCCAGCACAGAAATGGGAACAAAGACAATGCCCTTCTCATTACACTCATTATTCTAATGCTAAAGGAGAATAGAGCCTTGAATGGAATCCATTAATGCTTCATTTGAGTTGTGCTCTCAGTGGTCCTGATATGATCTCCTTACCACTCCCATCCCAAGAATAAGTGCTAGGCAGTGTTTCCAGTGTGAATGCTGGCAAGAGAGGATTCATAGGTTTTGCATATCCCGTTTCATACAAATATATTTACTTTGACTGGAGTGCATTGAAAATGAATTTAGGCCATGAAGGTTGGATCCAGATGTGGTTCTGATGTTCAGAAGGTTGGGAGTGTTTGGACTTACGGGCTAGTGCACGTTGCCAACACTGGTGTACGTTGCCATACTGTGGAGATAATGAAGTTGAGATCCTCAAACTAATCCATTTGCTTTGTTTCAGAAGTCGAGGCCAAGAAGGCTTGTGACTGGCTGCGTGCAGCAGGATTTCCTCAGTATGCACACCTTTATGAAGGTAAGTGTTACCAGTGGTTTGGGGGAGCATCATGGGGAGAAGTAGTGCTCTCATTTCTTTAAGAGCATTAATGTTGAAAACAGCTCTGCACCCTGTGTAGGAAGGATGCTGGTTTCATTACCCAACAGTTTGGGGTACAAGTCCTGAGCTGTCACCTTTGCTCCCTTAATCAGGTGAAGCTGAAGGAACTTGTGAGACAACACTTAACTCCCAAGAGGAGAGACGACCCCTTGGGTCATTGCTCGAAGCATTGTTTACTTGTGAGACAACACTTAACTCCCAAGAGGAGAGACGACCCCCCCAGCCCTCTTGGGTCATTGCTCGAAGCATTGTTTGAGCTCCATGTATTGTCAGTCTTGAATGGATGGAAAAAGGGGGAAAATGTGATAAAATCCAGAGGACCATCCTGCTCCTCATCAGGATGGGTTCTGCAAAGTGAGACTGAGGCCTCCTCTTAACTGGAGATTGATGCTATGGAGATCGATCTCCCAGGGTTTGATTTAGCAGGTCTAGTAAGGACCCACACTAAATTGACCATGATTGTGCCCCTGTTGATTCTGGAACTCTTAACGGGAGTAAGGGAAGTTGATGGGAGAGTTTCTTCCAGTGACTTTCCTCAGTGGCAACAACGTGGAAATTCAACCTAAAGTATGTCAACCCCAGCTACACTATTCGTGTAGCTGTAGTTGGGTATCTTAGTTTGCCTTTGTCCTCTAGTGTAGACTTGGCCTGAGTCCATTTGGTTTGTTCAAGTCTCATGTTTGCTCAAACTATGGGGCTAGTCATTCCAGTCCTCCCCTATTCTTTCTAGTTTGGATGACCCAGAAATGTGTGATGTGTGTGTCTTAACTAGATGTGGATGGCTACCTCAGGGGAGATTCTCAGAACACTGGAACCAATCTGAAATACTGGGGAAGAGGAAAAGATGGAGAGGGCAGTTTGCTAATTATATGATTATATGTTACAACTTTAAGCCTTCCGACCTGATAGAGACCTGGGGAGTTAGTCTTGTTATCACCCTCTCTGCATTCCTGAACCTCTGGTCTTCGGGCAGCACTACTGGAAAGTTCTTAGGATACCTAAGGGAGACAGGTTTCAATGGCAGTGTCTCCAGTTATTTTAGTAAGTTGTTGCTGGAGGTGGTGAAGCATGTACAGCTTAACCAGCCATGGCATAGGAGTGGGAGTAGTTTGTGTGCTCCCGACTATAGCACCTCCATGCTGGGAGCTAGGCGCTGAATTCCTCTGTTGGGTAGTCCTAGAAGAAAGGATATTTTAGGAGAGGTGGTTGGATGAGTCTAGCTGACTTTCTCACACGTGTGTTTCTTAGGGCTTGTCTACACATACCGTATGGCAGAGATACACACTGGAGTGCTTAGTGAAGACGCTACTTAATCCAAAGAGAGCTGCTCCCATTGGTGTAGTTAATCCACCTCTCTGAGAGGCAGTAGCTATGTTACTAGGAGAAGCTCTCCTGTTTGCACAGTGCTTTCTACATCAGGAGTTTGGTCGACATAACTGTGTTGCTTGGGGGTGTAGGTTTTACATATGCCTGAGCAATGTAGTTTTACTGACATAAATTTGTAGCCTAGACCAGGGCTCTCAAACTCCATTTGCAAATTAATCTGTGCAGAGTGTGTTTCTGGGCTCAGCTTTGTTTATTTCAAACACTTGATGAAGGCCACTAGTCCCCATGGAGATGTCCAAAGCTGAAAAATCACAGCTTTGGCTCAGCTTAGCCTGAGGAAGGAGGAGGCTAGAACAATAGCGGGAAATATGACCTCCCAGCAATGTGCAAAGCCAGCTATTGTTCAGCTGGGACACTTCCACTTGCCCCCTCCCAGCTACATATGCACAGCTACAAGATCTTACCTCCTTACTAATAGCTTTACAGGCTGCCTTTTTGTTTAGAGTTTCTATTTTAGGGGTGACCTCTATGTGTGTCCAAGCGTAAAGACTGACCAGATAGCTGAGATCTAGGCTCAGATCTGCTTGCCTGTGGGCTGATGACAGCTGTTACTCAGGGAGACAAGACACTGAAAACAAACAGTCCAAACTCAGTGCTGGTCTCTCAAAGCCTTCTATAGCCTTCTTCAGCATTTCTTGACTTTCTTCTCTCTGCTTCTTTCTGCTCCCCGTGGGCTCAGAATTCCCATTATCCCTTGCGTTGCAACCTCCGCTGGGCAGCTTTGCTTACAATGAGGCTTTTGCCCTCATGGTTAGTAGAATTAAAAGAATACATGTATATACCCAGCTGAGTTTCCTAAAAGAGGGAAAGGAGCAGAGAATTCCATGCGATTTGCTAAGGACCTTGCTATGCAGATCTAATCTACTTGGAAGGCTTGTAGCTATTACAGAGATGATGGGCATTATGGAAAGCCCTAAGATAGCTGGATGCTAGCAATAGCTATCTTTAAAGACATGACTATTCTAAGCATGTGCTAGCTTCACTCCTTCCCCCAGCCCTGCCCGGATGCCAGACAGTGTGTCAGTCCTCCAAGATTTGACCCATGACTTTTGAGTCAGGTCTGGGGGAGGCTGAGCGAGGTCCCGGAGCTGTTATGCACATTCCATACCACTTGTTTGTCATAGGCATAGTGGGTTAGCAGAGGGAGGGGATCTTTCTGAGGGAGTTTACTGCACAGCCAAAAGGCTCCATAGCCTGACCCGTCTCACTGCACTCTCCTCTTTTCTTGTTTCCTTCCTGAGGGTGGAGATGTGGATTTTTCTTTTGAGCGAAAGCTGTGGGTGATTTGAATGCTGATGATAGAGATTCTAACCAACCGCTCTCAGCTGGGGGCCCTTCCATGCATGCTGGCTGCAGAGGAAGTTCTGATGTGTCACATCACTGCCGTAGCTACTCGATGTAAAACAGCTGGGTTTTCTCCATAAAACAGGGGCCTTATTGTTTGGGTTCGGTCTAGATTTGGGTCATGGGAAACATTGGGAACATCACATTTTCAGAGAGTGCAACTCTGCTGTTGGAGGCATTGGAGCCCGGCTCTGAACGTGGGTTGTTTGGTAGTGGTCTGAAAGGCCGGGGTTTCTGCCACCCTCCAAAAAATGTCTCGAGTCTAGATCCACGTGTCTCCCCCACTACTGACAGTGGTGCTCCAGAGACAGGTGCCTGGAGTATTCTTGTTCTGTGTGCTCCAGAGAGTGTGTGATCTAACAGGTACAGCTCACAGTTGGGAGCTGGGAGTCAGGTGTTGGGACTTCTGTCCTGAGCACCGCTACAGACATATTGTGGGGGAATTATGATCCCCACTAAGTGACTTGTTCAGAGTCCTACAAGTCAAGAGATCCTCATATGGAAGATAAAAGAGAAGCACATAGAGTTGTGGTGTCCACCCCATGTGACAATCAGGGGTCTGAAACTAGTTCAGGAGCATCAGTGTTTTCTGCCCTGAGGTAGAATAACTCACTAGCACTCGGCCTCCTCCCTGGGGTCTCTGGGAAGATGGTCAGTTAGTTACCTGTGCTCTTATTACACATACTGTATTCCTACCAATTTAAAGCTTGCAATGAACACCTAAGCATTCAGGAATACGTGAGCTGAACAATTTAAGCATGAAGTGGCTGCTTGAACAGGGAAGTGATACCATAAGCCATTCCCTTCCCCATTTCCTGGTGACCTCTTCTCCCCTCTGCTTTCATCCTTCAGGCACTTTCCGAAGCTGGCCAGGTGCCAAGGGGGAAGTCAGAGGCTGTGCAGGAAGAAGTTTACCCTCTGCCGGGCTAGCACTCTACAGTCTGAGGGGTGTGACTGCAGCCTGCCTTCCAGAGGTGGCAGGGTCGGGGAGAGACATGCTTGCCCTTGGCAGTGCGGATGGATGTGTGAGGGCTGTGCAGGGTTTTCATTTCAGAGGGGGTGTTTATTTCTGAGTTGGCTGATCTGTCAATACAATCAGATAGGGACAGTATAAAAAAATTTCAAGTGTTTCCCCAGGGGCTGCACTCGGCTCCAAGCACACATGCCACGGTCATTTAACCATGGAGTATTACCCTGTGGGGAGGAAATTGTCTGTCTAAGAATAAGCAGATGAGAGAGGCCACTGCTGAGTAACAGCGTTTACATTTCTGTGCGCTCTTTCTACCTTCTGGGCTGTGGTTTATATCCCTGGTGCCACCCTCCCATTTTCTGTGTGCTTTGTTTCTCCCCTGCCACCCATGTCTACCTGTCTAATTCATCCTTTTCACCTCTGCATTTCTCCTGTGCCCATCACCATGGCAGCTACTCACCATTGAGTCTTCCCTCTTCTACCTCCGGGTCTATCCCCTTTTCTCCTTCTCTGGCTGTCAAACATGAAGCTGCAAGTAGTCCCTTCATTGGGGAATGTCTGGCCAGCATCCTTCCTGCGCTGCTGGAGTGCGTATCGTGAGCCCTACCCCTCGGGAGCTCTCTCTTGGCAGATCGAGACTGTTCGTAGTTCAGTGCTATAATGCTTGCTACTTTCTGGGAAGGAAAGGTTTTGCTTTCCCCTCCCAGTCTACCATCCCAGGAAGTGTCCAGAGGTTGTCTCATGGCATAGCTGCTCCATGTGGCACTTAGATACATTGAAAGTCTCAGAGGGGTAGTTGTGTTAATCTGTAACTTTAAAAACAATGTTTAAAAACAAGGAGTAGACCTGTGGCACCTTAGACTCTAACACAAATATAGATATAGTATATGAGCTTTCATAGGCAAAACCCTCTTCTTCGTCATCTCATCTGAAGAAGTAGGTTTTGCCCACCAAAGCTCGTGATACTGTGTATATTTTTGTTAATCTCTAAGATACCACAGGTCTACTCATTGTTTTTACAGATATATTATGTAAGCCTTAATCATATCTTTCACCAGTTGCTTACAGTATTTGTGGCTGTGTTCAGAAGCTTCCCCCCTTCCTTCCCTCTGTGGCGCTCTCATTTTCCTCCCTGCTTTTCCCTTCTCCAGGTCATACCTCCTCTGTGTTACCTTACTCTTTCTCAGGATCTAAGGGCCATCAAATGAAATTAGTAGACAGCAGGTTTAAAACAAACAAAAGGAAGTGTTTTTCATAATGCTCAGGCCGCCTGTGAGACACCTTGTCAGAGGATGTTGTGAAGGCCAAGGGCATAACAGGATTCAAAAAGAGCTAGATGAATTCATAGCTGATAGGTCCATCAGTGGCTACTAGTCAGATTGGGCAGGGATGGTGTCTCTAGTCTCTGTTTGCCAGAAATTGGGAAAAGATGACAGGGGATTGATGATTTGGTGATTACCTGTTCTGTTCACTCCCCCTGGGGCACCTGGCATTGGCCTTTTTCAAAAAACAGGATACTGAGCTAGATGGCCCTTTCATCCTAGTATGGCTATTCTTATGTTGTCTCCCTCTCCTCCTCTGTATGTCCCTTTGTCGCTTAGTAGAGTTACTGACGTGGAGGCTGTGGCTGTAATTCTCTCCCTCTTCTCCCTTCAGACTCACGGTTCCCTATTGACATCACATCCGTGAAGAAAGACCACAGCTTTCTGGACCAGGATTCCCTCAAATCCCTTTGCAGGTAAAGTTTCTCGCAAGCCGGACTAATCTCTGCAAAGAACAGGGGAACTGTGGGACCCCGTTTCAGCTGCCCTGTGCTGTGCTGTGCTGTGTTGTCAGCCCCAGGGCTAATCCTCTGAGAACTGACTGACACCACCCAGGAAAGGGGCGGCATAGATGGGAGACAGCAAAAGCTAGTGGGGGTCAGAGTGACACTGACTTGCTGTAGTCACACAGTCTCTTTCAGCCTCACTTTCTGCATTGTTCAACCAGGTGTTGGGATGCTTTAGTCATTCAGATGTAATGTGGAATGAGCTCCTTAGATGGAAGGTGCTAGAGCAGGGGAGGGCAAAAGGGCCTCCATGGGCTGGATCCAGTCCACCAAGCAGGTTGATCCAGCCCACGGAGGCCCTGCTGCTCCCCAGGCCAGCCTGGGGACAGGGGGAGCACACAAAGTTTCCTCCACCCTGTAAGGAGCATGCAGTGCTTAGAAGCACCACACACTCCTGGCAGGGTAGAAGGAGACTTCATGTGCTCCCCATATCCCTAAGCCCTGATTGGCCTCGGGGCAGAAGGAGGAGTGTGCAAAGTCTCCTCCCACTGACAGGGGCATGGGCGCCTAGGGGGTTCCTCTGGGAGGGGGGCAAACATGCTCCCCCATTCCCAGACCAATCATGATCTGTGGGTGGGGAAGCAGGAAAGTATCCTGGCCCCGCCCTTTCTGATTGAGGCTTTGCCCCTTCTGGTGCGGCCCAGGGCCACTTCAAAAATTTCTGAAGTGGCCCCTGGCAAATAATTGTTGCCCACCTCTGTGATAAAGCCAAGTTTGTGTTGTTTATACACACCAAGCTCTTGAACGGTAAAAGCATCTTCCATAAATCCCCTTTCTAGATTCATTGTGTGGTTCAGTGTTTTAACTTTTTGCCTATGCAATCTCAATCCCTTCTGGCTGTGCTTTTGAAGTGAAGCGGGTTACATGCAGAATGTCTGTCCATCTCGTTGTGGTGAGCATCTCAGAGTTGGACTATGTCTTTCAGTGTTACCTGGACTTCAGAACTGGCCTTGTAGCCGCCTCCCTTTCCCATGCTTCCCTGATGGTCAGAGAGGTTCAGAAAGGGCACCAAGTCATTTGGGGTGTGTCACGGGGGGCACTACCCCCCTCCCTCTTAACCACGCAAGAGTGTGGGGTAGGGTGGGCCCGTGTTCTGTTGACGGAGGGGCCCTCCCCAACTCTCGGTCCGTTTACTCTAGGCCTATAGGGCGTAGTAGGGTTCCCACGTACCGGGAAGTCCCGGTGGGCTCACACCCTCCTACTTATACCCTGGGGCCCTCTGCCTATAGACTGCTCCGGCATCGGGGGGTCCCCTTTGGGCCTACGAGTCGGGGCACCGTCCCGACTCTGCGCCCTAGCGGGAACGGGGCGTTGGGTACCTCCTCGGTCGGCGGGCTTCTGCGGGGCTCCGGGTGGCTTCGGCGGGCCTCTTCCCAGACGTCCTTTGGCCGGTCCTCGTCCGTCAGAGGTCCTGTCGTGCTAGGCGGAGATACACTCTTCCGGTCCTCCCCCAGTCCCTCTCTGTGGGGGGGGCTGAGAGGCGGTCGCCGCTGGCACGCCTGCTGGCCGCAGCCCAGCCCTGTCCGGCGATGCTCCCCCTCCCGCGTCTTCCGCCTCCCTCTCAGGTGTGCCGGCGCCGCGCTTAAAAGCGGCCGCCGGCTTGCCGCGCATGCGCGGCAGCACAGCCAGCATTCCTCCGGCTCTTTGCGAGCTGTGCGGGCTGCGCGTGCGCGAACCCGACACGAGTGACGGGGGTCAGCCCGGCACAGGGTAAAAGGGCTGGACAAAGGAGTTAACAAAAGGTCTCAGACGTTTCTAGAAGATTCATCTTGGGTTGGGATGTGAAAATGGGCAAAAATTCAAGGAAGGACTTGTTCTGTGTCTAAACCATCAGTGCACTCTTTTTCCATTTCTTTTTCCATTATCTTCAATGTGGTTCTCCCTGTGTGTATGGGATCCAGAAAAAAGCAAAGCACTTTTCCATCTGTTATACTAATAGTGCTGTGTAACTTCTGTAACACTTGCAGAATATTTGGAAATCCTCTCTCCAGGCTATAGGGTGGGATTTTGTTTATTGTTGTTCTGCTTAGACTGAATTCACAGTAGGGCTGCTTATGCCAGAAATGCCATCTGTGAGCGGAATTGCACTTGGTTGACATGTGCATGTCTTAGGTAAATAAAATAAAATGCTCAATGTGTGATTTACTGAGCTTTTGAAGAATAAAAGATGCTACGTGATTATTAGACGCTGTCCCTCACAGTGGCTCGTGAGGAATTGGATACTCTGAAATGATGTTTGTTCGTTCTGTGGTAATAGATTCTCTTCAGTTAATTCTGTGTTTAGCATGTGATCTGCTCCACCTTGCATTTTGCTGTGGAGTTGGGAGCTCTTTTCCCAGACATGAAGAACTTTGCGTGGCTCGAAGCTTGTCTCTCTCTCCAGTAGAAATTGGTCCAATAAAAGATTGGATCCATCTTGTCTCTCTTGGATTCTTTACTAGTTGATTAATTTTCTTTCATGGAATAAACAGTTTGGTTGCTCTGAGTCAGGATTTCCTTTCCAAGAAGTGATTTTGTCTACACGTCTTGGTACAGTCCGCTAGATTAACATAATCATCCCAAACTCACAGGAAGAGATACTACAGAGTCCTTTGTATCAAAACACATTCTCTCTTAATACCAGCAGGGTTGAAATGGCACCATTAGAGTCTGTACATACGTTTTTTGAGAGAGGAGGTAACCTGGTTCTAGGTGGACACTCTTAATACCATTGTAATGAACAAGAGGGGATACTTAATCGAGAGGGACTGTCAGATTCCCTATGGTTTGTGACTATAAATGCCTAGTCCAGTCCAAGACCATGATTGATCCAGGATTTTTAGCTCCTGTGTTTGGGTTCCCATACCCCTTGGATAGCTGCGTCCCTGCAGTGACCCTATAGCTGAGAGGCTGGGGGATATTTACTATGATCAGTGCCTTTTTACTCACAGGAGCAATGGAAGCACCTCTGCTAGGTTTTTTACCATAATGAGCCTGCTGTAATGGGGAGGATAGATTCCCCCATTGTGTGATTCCTTGGAATGAATCACAGCTGCTTCTCCTTGTCAGGGGAATGGAGGTTGCATGAAGGTTTGGAAGATCCTGGGTGACAGTCCACCCCTGTCAGAGCTATAAGTTTCTTTGTTTACACCTGTCTTGAGGAGTTTCTGGAGTTGTTTCGCTCTGGTAACCTGGAACAGGACATTTCTGCCTGCTCGGGTGATTGCTTTCCATAGTGGAGCCTACATCAATGCCAATGCCTTTGGGAAGAGAGTGTGCGGTGGGTGGCATGAGTAGAACTATGGCTTTTGAAAAAGACTTGCCTGCAGCCAGCTTTCCAAAGCTATCCAGTAATCCCAGAGGTACACAAGGTGGCCACATGCAGCATTTAGCTGATTAAAAGGTCAGAAAAGGAAATTAAATAGCTCTTCCAAGAAAATGAAATCCCATGCACACGTGTTCTCCCCTACTGCTCTCCCTCTCTTTCATCTTCATTCTGACAAAAGTTCATGAATTTAATCCCTTTGCTTTAAAACTTTCTTCTCCAGCCAGCAAGGGACAAAGCAAAAGGCTGTTTGACTTATTTCCAGATGGGTGATAGGCCAGGCATGCATCTGGCCTCGCAGCTGCTTGTGTGGGATAAAACCACTTCTTGTGCTTCCAAGTGCCCACTCAATCCCTTTGCCCCTGCCCTGGAAGGAGGCATTTGTAGAAAATCTTCCTCCTCATCCCTGGAATCGGTATGCTTTTATGAACACAGGTTCTGATTCAGTCCCTCAGCATGCTGCAGCATAGGTTTTTCTGCCCGCTTTAGGAAAACCTCTGTGAATGTCCACTCCAGTCTTAACCAGCTCTTTGCATTATCACCTGAATACTAGTTTGAGCCCTATGAGAAACCACAAACTTTTGACTGGCTGTATCTTCCCTGTGTGTGGTGGTGGTTTGTTTTGGGCTTTTTATTTGTTTGTTTTTTAAACAGCAGGATAGCTAATGACTGTTGGTTTTCTCCCTGTCTGATCCTAGTTGAGACAAAGCTCTGTAGTTTAGGCCACCAGATAGCTAGGAGATATCAAAACCTCTATTCGACCTGCCCTTGATGGATGTCTTGATGGATGATAGCTATCTTGTGGTAAAAACAACAGGATTTCCACCAGGATTTTACAGTGAGATTACTAATAGCTCATATGGTAAACTACCTTGCTGAAGATGTAACCATTGTGTCCTGGAGCTTTTGTGTAGTGTGTACATTAGCATCGACAAAGGTGCTAATTAACTCATATTAATTGGCAGTCCACTAACTCAAGGTAAGGTAGGACCACAGACTCGATAGTCCAGAGCCACCAGGGGGTGCAGTGTCCATTGATCTCAGCTCAGAAGTGGGAGGCAGGGACCCCTGAATTCTATGCCAGTTCTGATCCCTTCTGAGAAACTGGCAGAGTCGCTTCCTGTTTCTTTGCTGAATAGCCTGTGTTTCTTTCAGTGTCAAATGTTTGAAGTATCTGTTGTGCCTGCAGAACATGCATATGTAACCCCCTGCAAATCCCTGATTCCAATACATGGTTCCCCCCCCCCATATTTCCATGTGTACCATCCATACTCAGACGTATAATGGCTGGTTCATAACTTCTGTTGTAACAGTTCAGCTATAGCCCTTTAATGCCCCTCAATACTGCGGAGCTAACTATCCCCACAGGGAACTCTGGGAATCTCCCTTGTATTGTATTAGATACCTGCCTTCTTCTCAGGATCCTTGAAAATGCAGAGGGAATGGTTGTCCTCAATAGAAGCTGGCAGAGATTTAATTAAATTAATGCTAAGGATTTGCCATCCCACCTAGTGGCTTTTCTCTCTGCCTCCCTGCTTGTACACTGTCCATTATATTAGCTTCCTTGGGGAAACTTATTAAATTGCCTAGAATCTAAACAGTGGGACCAAGGGAGTGAGGCTTAATCTGCTGTCAGCTACGTGTCAAAGCAGTTTAGATGACTGCTCTGAACAAGTTAATAACAGGCAAGCAGGTCACATGTCTCAAGCTCGAGTAGAGACTGAGACCAAACCAGCCAGCTTCTTCCCTCCCCCCTTCTCAGAACATTTTATCAAAAGCTCTGTGAGGGGACACCATTCATCCCTGTTTCCTTTCCCCTCCTGCTGCCACTTCCTTCCCCTGGCTTTTTAAACTGAAGATTATTTTTCTTAGCGTTCTTTGCTGGTGAAAGGGGTTGGGTTTGTAGCCCTGGAGGCTGAAGTCCTGTGGGTATCATCTAATCAGGTACGGGAGAGCAGTGGCCAAGCCAGCTTCCCCTGCTGCTCTGAAGGAACCAGCTCTGGCGTAGAGATCCTGCCTTGCTGCTAAGGCACCTACAAAGAGACCAGTCATGATGGGCTCTACAGCTTACACTCTCCTCATTCATACTAGCAGCTTGTTCCTGTGCCCGGAGAGAAGCTGTCTTGATTTCTCTATCACACTTCAAGGAGCTACCTTTTGTTGTATTTAAATCTGTTTCCTGCAGTCCTGTAGCTTGAGCTGACAAACCACAGTCTCTCACTTGCATAAGTTCCCACGCACACAGATGTATCCATAAGTCACGCCTAGGCGTAGCGATTAGCAGTTCTTGCAGACCAACTGCCAAGTTTAGCCTTTCCACTTCAGTGTGAGCAGATAGGCTCCCAGCCGCTAAATGTTGCTGACAGATATGTAGCACTTTTGAGGTTTCTAGGAATGTGCCCAGCAACCTTGGAAAGAGCAGAAGCTACCTGGGTGCCTTAGAGGGAATCCCATTGTGAGGTCACTATGGGGGCAGAGGAAACCGATTGAGCAGGAACGGGAGAGAATCATTCTCCATGCACTCAGAAGGCAGTGTTGAAGGAATGATGAAGTCACATAGCAAAATACCACTATCCTGCCATTCTGCAGGTTCGCCCTTATAGTCCAAAGCTGGAGTGGGAAACGCTGCCAATTCACTTGTCTTGACCAGTACTAAACACTTGCACTGTTTAGTTTTGTGTTTTGGAACCCTCTCCATTCACCTCATTCCTGACCCATAGCTTCTAAGCTGGGCTCTGCCCACTCTTGCTGATGTGCCTTCATACTACCACTATCCTGCCATTCTGCAGGTTCGCCCTTATAGTCCAAAGCTGGAGTGGGAAACGCTGCCAATTCACTTGTCTTGACCAGTACTAAACACTTGCACTGTTTAGTTTTGTGTTTTGGAACCCTCTCCATTCACCTCATTCCTGACCCATAGCTTCTAAGCTGGGCTCTGCCCACTCTTGCTGATGTGCCTTCATACTAACCTGCAGCATCTGCTGCTGTTCAGTTATGCCTTTGCATTTCGATACCAACCTACAGCATCCCTGGCTGTTCCAGTCTTTCCCTTCTGCACACTTGTGCCAAGGCACTTCCTTGTTAACCTGCAGCATTTTGTGCTGTACCTGACCCACTCCCAAAAGCTCAGCCCCCTATGTCTCCACTCCTGGATTCTTCTGGAGTAGAAGAGAACAGATTGCCTGCTGGATAAATGCATGTTCAGGGACAGAATGAAGATCTGAGGCTTCTGGAGATGAAAATAGGTTGTACATAAAACCCAGTGAGTTACTGACTTATCTCCTCCCTCCTCCACACAAACACATTTTCCTGGAGGTATTTATAGGGTTACTTTTCCTAAATCCTCTTATTTGGAATCTGGAAATCAGTGTGGTGTTGGGGCTTGGTGATGCTG